TCGCTACTGGTGAATAACGGAATAAAAGATGATTTAGATGACCTTCCATCTGTCACCTCCTATAATAAATCATTAGATGAATAGCTATAATTAAAATGAACATCACACAATACCCTCTTGACCCCTTTATTAAAATACTCCTTTGGAGAGATGATTCCACACTAGCCCACTGCGCAAATTCTTCTACGAAATTAGCATTGTTTTCTGTGCTTGAAGAATTGTACTATGTTTCCAAAATGCATTTACTCTGCAAGTCTTTTCTGTTGTGTTTTAATTCTTTTTAAACTTTGGTCTTTTTAATGCACTTTTTGTAAAAATAAAATCAAAAATTGTGATGCCCATACAATCAATGACTCTGTTGAAGTAATTAAAACATGGAATGGTGGATGTCCACAGTGGCACGGTGGCATCCTACCCAGTTATTTTACTATTCTGATTCCAGCATTTCCAGTATTCAGGATGTATATGCTTTTCAGTCAACAACTAATTTACATTTCAGCACCATCTTAGGCAAATAATCATCCACATGATTTCAATCAAACAATTAAGAAACAAGAAGGCACAAAACCCAGCATCCCACAGACCTCAAGTAACATGATTTTACAGTGGTCAGGTTTCACTTCTACCACAAGGGGGCACCGCAGACTAGAAAACATACTCATCTGCAAGAAGTTCCCATCACACATTTGCCAACAACAGGATTCTCCAAGACTCATTAATGGCTAGTCTTGGAGAATCTCCAACTCTTCAGATACCTCAAAATTCCCTGGAAGAGTCCTTATCAGACTGCCTTGTTGACCAACAAGAAAAGCGTGCCTCACCCTCCTATCAGAACACAGTAAATAAACACAGTTGCGTAATCTGCCAAACAAAGTGCACAGATGGACTACAGCTCCACAGTGAGCAGACATGGACATATTCCTACTCAAAAGCCAAGAGCCGTGGCTCCAAACATGGATGACTGCTCTGTTTAATCCCACCCTTCTTGGATCTTTGGAATTTGTCATATCGCTAAACAGTGACACTCTTGGCAGACCGGAGCCTTATTTTTTGTGTCAGGAGTTCGATGACAGATAGGAAGTTCACCAAAGCAGGCCTGCTGAAAGCACCTTTTGTAAACAAGCCGCTTCCTCACAATTCCTGCAGTGTCGTCCTCCTCGAGGAAACGTAAACCGTGCTTCCTGACTCTGAAGGATCCCGCTCACTTGGCACTTTATACACTATTCATTCACTCCAGTGACTTTCAAAGGAAGTAAGGCAAAGCAGTCTGGAAATGAGTCTGTGCTTGGTGTGCGCTGAAAAAGCTAAGATCCTGTTTTACAGCCCCTGACTGTGTAAGAAGATAAATTGCAACATTTACCTGCATAAATTAGTAAAAGTTAAGGACAAAACATATTGTAGTTTGAAAAGTTTAAATGCATGCAAACGTATCTCAATGCATGGCAAAGCTTAACTTATGAATCATAAGTATGTAGTTAAATGTACAAACTAGGCATAAACCACTGAAAAAGAAGGAATAGGGGCAGGTTTAAACAAGACCTGTAGAAAAACAATGGTAATTTAGGCAAATAATTACATTAAAATCTCTATCCTGACACGCTTAACATTTTCATTCAATAATAAATCAATGTATCAGCTTTAAGACACACTGATACAACTGTGCCTAACCGTGGCCACATATGGTCTTTTTTGTGAGGCTCATTAACAATGACTCAACAGAGTAGGTAAAGCAGGTGTTGACCTCTGGTCTCTGACCTTTAACCCCAAGCAGCTGAGTGAGATCTTAAAAAAACAGCACGTACAGCTGTTGGGGCTCCGGCCCCCTCCGTACAGCATGCTTCGGTTTGGGGCTGAGCTTAAGGAGGGCCCGGATGCCGCCCGCTTTAAATAAACAAAACGAGAAAGCCATTCAGAAACCGGACAGTCAACTTCACTGCTGCGCAGCGTTAGTCATTAGGCTCGTACTCCCATCTGACTCAGCGGCATGGGCGGGCCGTCTGGGAGCTGGATTCTCACACGCACAAACACACACACGCACAGCCGCACATACACACTCTGGCTCATAGTCCAGAGGCTCCAGCCAGCAGTGCCATTCTAGTAAGATTACCGCTGTCCTCCTTCCGAATTCCTCTCCCTACCAAAGAAACGGCTCCCGTGCAACCAAGCCCTTTCAATGGAAACCGCCACGGCACCATTGTAAACGGCCGTTTCCCTGCCAAAAAAAACTCCAACGTCGTAAGCATGTTCAACACCAGCTGCAATCAATCTGACTTTACTAGAGATAAAAATACGGAGTCAGTAACAATAGAGGTGCCAAAAGATTCAGTTGAGCCCAGCCGCTAATGGGAGCATGAATGGCAGCGGCAGTTACGGGAATACAGTAAAGTGACCCAATCTGGCCCCGCAGCGGGGCACCTGGCACTCCAGAGCCGGGGCTGATGGCCGTATCCATGGCGACGGGGGCTGTCAGCCGTGCGACCCCGCTGTCAACGGGCAGGGGGGATATGAGATCCAGGCCCGTGCCAATTAACAGCAGCTGCCACGAATGCAGCGGTGCTACCTTTGACTCAAGATGGGGGTTAAGGTTCACTTTGGGGGAGGAATGGGGCTGAATGCAGGTGGCAGAAGGGAGGGGTGGGGTATAGATGGCAGAGGCTTATCTTTATATACAGAGGGGCTCACTGAAGTAAAATAGGTTCAAACCCCATAAAGAGCGGAACCCACTTCTCCTTCTTCCCAAATTAACACACATGCACACAAACAGATACACAAACACTAAACTGTCAGAGGTGCCCTTGATGACACTAGCAAGCATACAAGCATACTAAATAGCAGGTACTCAGTGTCAGCTCCCTGTTTAAATATGTAAATATTGAATTCTAACTTTGATTTTTAATTAAAAAGGTCCACACAGCAACACAGGTCAAATCAATGCCTTCATACAGGCTCCACATCAAACTGCTTGACCTTTTGACATTCAGCTTATTGGCCTATTGAATAAGCTCCATCCACCCCCCTGTCACCAAAGCCTATTGCTCCACGGTGATTAAGGCCTGATTATCCGTAAGTCAAGGCCTATCTGGCAGTTTACACAATCACATTCAGGTACTGCCAGATGCCAGCCTGTCAGCACGTCAGTGTGTTTCCTAAGGGTGCTTAAAAGGAATACAGGGTGTAACACATGTAAAGGAGGTTTGTAATGTGTCGCTTCTGCGTGTAGTGCACCTCAATGGCTCATTCCACGAATGGCACAACACATGACAAAGAAGATATTCTAGGCCCTGTGTCAAATTGCGTCAAACATAAATATGACTTCTGAAGAAGAAATGACACAAACTGATGCCATGTGGCCATGCCCGAGTGAGGTTTCAGGAACCTGGCCCTTTACGGAGAGGAGGGACCGTTTCATTGTTTCTTCCTCAGGGCAGAGTGGGGTTGCCAGCAGGCCACTGTCACAGCAGGTGCATTACTGATAGACTTCCTGTCAGCCATTCACAGCCCTACAGCCCTTCCAGTGCCCTTTGGAGAAACGGGACATCTCGCAGACTTGTGAAACAGGTGATGGCATCCTCGGCCGAGTCTGAGACTCCCCACCATTTTCACAGGTTACATAGCTCTTCGCTTGTTCTCTCTTCCACAGCTTTCAGGAAAAGCTTGTCAGCGAAGTGTTAGATTCCCCTCACTGAGTACCCCCATTCAGACAAAATCCCGTTCTCTGTATGTTTTGTGATATCAGTGGGAGAAGACTTTGCTGCTCTGACAGCCTGCAGCCACCAGCCCGATACTGTCCCCCTCCCTCCCGTCTCCCTGTAGGTGACGTCATGGGGCCAGCAGAGGTGCGGGGACCCCAGAGGGAGCGGGCCGCTGCCGGGGCTGCCTGCGGCACAGATGGGCTCCAGCCAGCGCTCGGCTCCACCCCCCGGCCCCCTCGCCCTCTCGCCCCCCACCCCCGCCCCCGGCCCCTTCCTCTCCAGCCGAGAGCGCTCTGCCCCGTCTCAGTCCCCCTTGTGCGCTCGCGGCCTCGCCTGCACGCCCGGGGGCAGGGCGGTCCGTGTGATTGACGGACCCCTAAGCTCTAAACATGCCACAGGCGAATTTCAGTGGAGGGCCAATTCATTTTTCATTCGTGCGTTTGATTTGACAAGGCAGACAAGAACGGCCTCATCCTCTGAAGTAGGCTGGGAGTGCAGCATGACCCGGATCATCACTCCAAGCCGCTCCTTGTGAAAGCTTTGTTGGGGAAGAGGGTGGGTTCGTTAGGGTGAATTCCCAATTAGTCATGGTTCAGTGGAAAACGCTTAAAACATTCTCAGGGCTGGCTTCCCTTTTTTTTTTTTGTTTTTTTGAGAAAATGCGCCGAGCGGAAACAAGGACTTTTTCTTTCCTGGAACAGTGAAGGATATCCTGTCCCGAGTGTCACAGCTTGGTATCACTCATCCGTTCCATTATCATTCATCCCTGCTCTTATCAGTATTGTTTCAGCACCTGTCCCCCGACACGTCCCTGACAGTGAACTCCCACAGGCGCGAGTGTGCGGCAGGCTACTGTACACACCACGGGGTGTGTACCCCAGCACAACCTCCACACCTCCACAGAGGAGCTGCCAAAGCCGTCTTGCCAGCACAGCACATTGACACACGTGATGGAAAAAACAAAGTAGTGAGGCTCGATTAATACATTTCTCATTATACATTACTGGCAAACATACATTACTGGCAAACAATCAGTACGGACAATGGACCATATAATTTAGATGGGTCCCAGGCGTGAAAGGGAGTCGGGTGCTCAGATAAAGCACTCCGACGTGAGAACCGTCTTCAGCAATGCGGTTTTCCCTGTTCCTCCATTTCTACACCTGTGTCTGTGCGCATGTGCAGGTTTGCCCTAGCTGAGCAAGTGCGGTGCTGTCCTCGTGCAACATACCCAGAGGCACCAGGTAACTGTTGGACTGAGTCTGCATTCCAGCACCCAGGAACCCTCATAAGGCAAGGTGGGTGGGCGGCAGTGTAGCGTAGTGTTAAGGAGCAGGGCTTGTAACCAAAAGGTTCCTGGTTTAATTCCCCACCGGGCACTGCTGCTGTGCTGTTAGGCAAGGTACTTAACCCACAACTGCCTCTGTAAATATCCGGCTGTATAAATGGACAAAACTGTAACCTATGTATGTTGCTCTGGATAAGAGCGTCTGCTAAACGAAAATGATGTAATGTATTGTAAAGATAGATGTATAGACAATTGTAAGTACCTACTAGCAGGCAGAGCACCACAGACTAACAACTGAAGGATGGCCAGCCAGCTGGAGGCCACAGTCACAGTCAGATACCGACCATTAGACAGACAGAAACAGGCAAGCAGACAGGCAGACTCAAGGAGGCACTGGAGACAGTTTGGCTGATAGACTGGGAGACAGAAAGAGAGTCATACAGTCAGGCAGACCACTGACAGAGATGCGGACAGACAGAGAGCAGCAGTATCTATATGATTAGCAGACAGTCAGAAAGAGGCAGCTATTAGAGAGCAGACAAAAAGCAGTAGCTGTTGGACAGCAGACAAACATATAGACAGACAGACAGACAGACAGACAAAGCAGCAGCTGTGGGGCAGCAGACAGGCAGGCCCACAGATAGACAGCAGCTGTGGGATGGCACACAGACAGACAGTTGGGCCCGTGTCCGGCAGAACGACAGCAGCCCTCCCGCGTCAGGCAGGAACGCAGCGCGTCACACGCCAGGCCGCGCGGGAGTGCAGGTGTTTCTCAGGTCGCTCTCTGAGGAGAGGCTCTCCGAGAGGGCTCCAGCGTTCCCCTGCACGCTGACTCCTCAGCCCGGCACGCCACTCTCTGGGCTTTCCCTTCACTCTCTGAGCAAGGCGGCCGTTATTTCAGCCCTTAGCGCATGCCTTTAGCATTCCCCAAAACATCAAGCAGGGTGCACGGTGAGGGGCTGGAACTGTTCGCCGTCTGACCCCTCACCCACACAAAATTCAAACACAGCACAGATCTGCTGCCTCACAAAATTACAAAACAGGGTTCCTTCTTAAGACAAATATAAAATTCTCATTTGAATTATGATCCATATCTACAGTGTAACGTTCAGTTTTCTGTCTGAAGAACATTGAAGAGCAACAAGTTATTGTGAGCCACAGTACAACAGCAGGTTATACCGTATGTCCACTATATACAGCACTTGGGTAAAAATGTGACAAAAAAGGCTGGGTTAACATTCCCTGTTTTCCACACCAACATAAACATCTCATCACACTATAAGCACACTTATCATCAGTTACACTTGGGCATTTAAGAAATTTGAAATATACAGAAAAAAATATCAAGGGGTGTCATCATTTAAAGCAGTGAAAAAGAACTTCAAAGAACCTGATTAAGATTCAGGGTTAATCCCTTCTCATTCTTGGTCAACTGGGAAACAGCCTACAAGATGTAGGTTTCATACAAAAACCTCTGCTCCGGATCTGTTTGCCATGCGTATAGAGACAAAGGGATATCACATCTGGGACTTTCAAATTTCATTCTCTTCTTCCCCAGATCAATTATTTCCCTTTGTTTTCTGTGCAAGCTAAGAACACAAGAGGAGATTATGTGAACAAAAGAATTGGTTTGGGATTAGCATATTAAGTGACCAGGTCGCCCAAGGGAGTCTTCATGCAACCATGCGGTGAGGTGTGATCCGGGCGAGAACTGAGTCGCCACGGTGGAGCACCCTCCGTCCACACGGAGTCCAGCCACCAGCGTTCACGTGTAGAGGCAACATCAACAGTTTTGTGGAAACAGCGTGTGCACTCTCGATGCCCACGGTCCCAGTTTCACAATTACTAAACAAGCTGTAACTCCTTCCGCAAACGGGTTATCAATTGACTGCGATACGCTCTATTAGAGTTGAAACAAACAGAGCTCGGAGCAGCTGTTTGCCATTACTAACAGCCAGGGAGATAAAAAAGCTAAATTTACAGCAATTCACTACAGCAACTGACCCGGGGTCTCGTGTAATGTACTGACTGGGGGAGAAGTCTCAGAACTGCCAAAGTGCATTGACGCCCGCCCTCAGTCTCTCTCTCTCAGAGACACAAGGCTCCCCGCACAGAGGTCACATTTCACATTCATGGTGGGGGGGGGGAGAAACAAACAGTGCAACGCCCACCAGACAGCAGGGAGAGGCCTCCGATGTGCTGACGGGGGCCGGGCGCGATTCGGGAGGGCTGCCTGACGGGTGACAATGGGAGAGCGGCCGCGGGTTGGCGTTCGGCCCGCCACAGCCGCGAGCCGTCTCTCTCTCTCTCCGGCGGGCCGCCCCCGCGGACCTCACGCAGCATGTTAGCGTGTTAATGCGGCGCCCGCTCCCCCGGGCCGCTGTTTAAACACAGGGATCAGCAGCAGATCCATGTCAGCCTCATGAGAGAATGGGGCCCTTTTTTTCAGCTTTTTTTTTCCTCCTTCTGCGCTACAACCGCCCGAGCGCTGCAACAGAGGGCAGGAAATGTGAAGTGGAAAACTGCGATAGACAGGAGGGAGTTTTTTTTTTATCCTGACCACTCAGACCTGCCCTCTCACAAAGCTGCTCATGCGAAAAACTAACACACTAACTAACCCAGATTCAAGAAAAAAAGGCAGAAATAAGGCTTCTCCAGCACTCCAAGCCCCCTCCAACCTAAAGTTGCTTTCCTGTACATTGCTCTTGTTTGCACATCCCCTTGAGATCTCTGTGTAGTGAGCTCCGCACCTTCAGTGCCTTTTATGCACCGTTCTCCCAAACTCAAAAGGAGCCCGTGCACCCCTTTCTGACACGCAGGCTCTTTGTGTGAGATGTAAATTTGACGGGGAGTAGCGTTTATGCCCATCCCGCGACAGACCGAGTGCGCCTTACACTGCACACCCCCCTGTAATGGGTCCCCAGAGACCTGCAGAGCGGGCACTGCTTTGGGGGGGGCCTTTGGGGTCAGTATCTGGGTCTGTCTCACTGTTGCCCCCTTCTCAAGGAGGGGGGGGACGCAGCTGCATTATTCAAACCCACGTGCACCGGATGGTGCCAATTTAAGGACATATGCCTGCCCCCACTCCCACGGGAGACAGAGAGGGGTGATGCCTGCCGGGGCGTGAAATCTGCTGTGTTAGAGCGAGGCGCCAGGACAATTAGAGGGAAGATTTCCCTCCTCTGCCCGGTCCCGTGGTGCGGAACCGCGCGCACAGTCCAACACTACAGACACAACGCCGACGCTTCGGGAAACACGCGTATATGGAAGAGGGCCCAATTCCTGTGCACTGCTGGAACACTGTACCATTAGCATCTGCTAGCATGCTACATTTGATAGACAAATGGGAGCCCCTCTGGCAAAGGCTTAACACACTTACTCAGAGACAGGTACAGATCCCTGGCCCTGCACTGTCTGCTCCTCATTCTGACTGCAAGCGGACACTCCCTGCATTTACCCACAGGGCCTGCTAGGATATACAGCAGTGAGTGCCCACATGTACTTCTAGAATACAGACAGTTAAGCACCCACAGGGCCTGCTAGGATACAGACAGTACAGTACCCCCAGGGAAGTCTGGAACAGAATATAGCCAGCTATATTCAGTACATGTCACTTTTTCTCTTGAGATTGTCCTTGAAGGTGCTTGGTCTAAAACAGAGCATTCATTCTGTTTTACATCAGAGCACCAGAGCCAGAACCCAACCCAACAGAACCTCCTACAGTATGGAAGGAGCACAGGAGTGCAGGAGTTGAATATCTGGTTATTACAGAGTATCTGTGACAATAACCCCAAGCATATTCCAAAACAGATACAGTGGAATACACTACCCACAAAGAGTCCAAAGGGTATTCTGGGAGACTTCTGAGCTGAGTGTGGTTTGGCTCCATGTAATTTCCATGCTAATTGGCTGGTGTTATTCAGTGCCATTGCCTGGAGGGGAAACACAAACGTGCTACATATGATTAACAGCAGTATGTGTCAGTGCATGCAGAGAGTCCTCTTTGCACAGCAGCTGTTACAGAGTGAGGCTCACAGAGGAACTGGAGCTAGTGGAAAACACACTGACACGCAATGCATTCTCTGCACCTCCGCATGTCTGCACCAAGCCATCTCCAGCGACTGGTACAATACTGGATAATTGCTGTTGGGCCTAATATTTCTAAATATACTGGCAGCAATAACTTGGTAAATCTATCATGTTCAGGATGGGCCGTACATCGGGATTCTCATAAATTCAATTCATCAAATTACCGCTTCGCTGCAGACAGGTATTATCAAGTGTTACAACTGTTATCTCCTGATTGTGAAAATAATTGCAAAGCTTGCGGTGCAAAGTCCAGGATCATATTTGCTCAGAGGGTAAAGCACGTGGCTGTGCTCCGCTCATCTCTGCTGACTGAGACGAGTTTCCCGAGTCACACAAACCCACATAGCCAATGACAGAGGTGGCAGGGAGAGGACACACTGCAGGCATGGGTGTCAGTCCAGGGCGCAGCGCAAAAACAATGAGCAAAGGTAATATTTCCTATAACTGCACAGTACGTTACCCCTAACTGAACATGTCAATGAACGAAGGAGACACATAAGCTTGCACTCTTACTCACACACACACATGCGCCCACACACATCCACAAACATAAACCCCTATAGCTATGATTGTTTTTGGTAAAACAAAGAGCTGGGAGAGCTGTAAAGATCCACGTACTCCATGGGCCGACAGCCAGTTGGAAGATGAGTGCTCCATCCTTTTCGCCAGAATGTACCTACCTACCTACCTCCCCCCAAAAAGCTCTGGACCCATACTAAATCAGGACCGGTTCAACACATTCAGCACAGTGACCTGAAGCAACACCAGAGTATGAATGATGTATGATGTGTTCTAAACACCAGTAAATCGTTCCAATGAGAAACGGATGTACCCACTCCTTCAAGTGTGGGTCAAAAGGGCTATTCTGCAGGACCCAGAGAGGATAAATCACAGCTCTTCCCCACCAGCCACACACATAGAACGCACAGGTAGAGGCACTCCTCTCCCTGTGCGTGACCTCACCCAGAATCCCCCGGCCTTTCAGATCTACAGATACCATGGTGACAG